TGGAGGAGTCAAAGAGGATTTTGACATGTTGCCCCTTTAATCTTGCTCACTCCAGACGCTCTTTGGGTCATGATGGCGATGCATTGGCAACAGCTATTTTTTTGGGAGGGGGAGCAGGATGCGAAGCTTTAGCTGTGGATTGCAGAATCGCCAAGAGAGCGGGGCCGATTTGTCCTTCTGCAGTTTGTCAGCGAAAGAAGAAATAGCCTTGGCAATGACATTTTAAAAGCGCCATTCCTCAGTTGCTCTCAAACTTGGAAAGAAACTTGAAACTGCAGCACAGAATATACTTCCTAATACTATCCCCCGGCCAAGCTCCACCTTCTGCGAGATGAGGCGATACGCCAAAGGTCCTCATGTTTTAGAGGGGAAAGATATGAGTCGATAATATTGCCATAATGCATGATTAGAACCAGTATACATCCTTTACAAGGGCACTTGGATGCCTAAATCACGAGGCTCCACTTTACTGGCGTCGTTTTTCTTGGTAATGGTACAAGACAGAGGAGCATCCTCAGCTCGGATGCAGTTATTAACCAGATGTAAGGGAGAGGCAACATTTTAACTTGGCACCATTTAGCTGGAATGGTGCTGTATATGTCAATTTATCAAGGAATGCAATAATGCAGGAAAAATATTTTTTATGTCAAAGGGGCACATGTAGGAAGGAAGACAGAAACTCTGGTGCTGGGAAATTCAATGCACTGTTCTTAAAGCAGAAACCTGAATGAACATCGCCCTCTAGTGGTAGACAATAAATATGTCTCTCTGGTGGGGAAAATCCAACTAGAGGCATCTCATCCAGCTTTTTCCTCATGAATAAATAAAAATGAAAATATATTTTTAAGGCAAATGCAAACAAATTTTTGAACAGCTGTCTGCAAATACATCACATTCCATTCACAGTCAATCTGAAAAGAACTTCTCCGTTTGTAGGCCTGCGTTCCTGTGAAGCGGATTAGACCATTATGAAACATCCAATTTGGGACTTGGCATCGCAGCTAATTTCAAACATTGCTTTGTTTGGTTTTATCAGTGAAATAGGTCAACTCATGTGATTAGGACTAATTAAAGAGAAACCAAGCAGCTGATCTGCGTTGGATAACAGAAGGTTGAGGACACGTCTTTGTCGATTTTGACAAGATTAAAAAGAGTCTGACTTGTCTTACATACTTAAAAATATAGTGTAACCAAACTAAGAATACTGATTTCATGTTTCCCAATGTAATGGTGGGACATGGTTTCAATGGAAGGGCAGATCAGTTATAGAATAGGTGGATTGTTATGGTATATTTTCTCTTTAGATGTTGTTGTTTGTAGTATTAATAGTTTTTTATTGGTTTTACTTGGTTTGTTGTTTCTGTGTGTGTGTTGTTTGTTTCGGTTCTATCGTTGTCTAAACTGCCTGTAAGGTACCTTTGTTAACTGTTACACTGTTGATGCTCATTTAAGAAAAATAGTTATTAACAAAGGAAAAAAAAATGTTTACCTTTTATTGCAAAATAGGCCTTTGTGTTGATTTAATTTGTATTTCACTTCTACGTGTTACTTTTGTTTAAATAATAAAATAAATCCAGAATTTGGCTTGAACTTAAATGTGAACTTGCACAGAGATTGTTTCAACACCATGTCCTTTTAGCTTGAACTCTGTATCCTTTCCTACTGTGCCAACATTATTTATACTGAGAAAAGAACTTGGTTCTTAACCCCGCGACAAGCGAAGTCAACCTTCAGGGCAGTTTTTTTTCCTAAATAACAACCATTAATCTTCTTACCAGAAAATAGTGAAGGCCATTATAGGTACACTTCTCAAGGGAGTTGCAGACGAAGATAGAGAAAAAAGTTTCTTGCTAAATGGATTAAACTCTGCTGGGACAGGAAGTACAACAACCTGGGCAGCAGCCTCTGGCTCATTCAGAGAGTCCAAAAATTCCATTTCTGGGCCAAGATAGAGAAACTTTTAGTGCTGAATGGAAGCATCTGATAAGTCTGTGATTTACAGCAGAGGTTCTCACAATTTTCAGCCCTGACCCCTAAAATAAAAGTGTCAAAGACTTGACAATATATATCTACTACATGCACATGTCACAATGTTTCCTGTGTTGCTGTTAATCGACGTTAATGCAACTGATGCTGTTGCTTATCTGAAATCAATGAAAATCAGAAGGCAATTTACACAGTTTCAAATTTTTATTTTACATTTAAACTATTGCAGCACCAACTCAAGACTGTTTTCTTGCTCTGTGTTGCTATGAGTGAAGCGTTCATCCTACCTGGTGTATCTGCAATAGATATGTTATCGTCGATGTTTCAATTAAATATATTATTAAACAGAATTTGCTTCGTTTACACAATTAGATTTAATTTTTTTGTCCTTTTTAAACAATCATGGCTAAGACGTTATATTTGTAATGCCCAGGGGTCCTGAACTGTAGTGTGGGAACCACTGATTCAGAGTACAGAATCATTTGGGGGAATTTTCGTCTGACACTGATTTCCGTGTGAGCTATTATAATGTTCAGCACTCGCTTTTTTCACATTTTGGGTTTGGTTGTGTTAAAAAAAACATTCCTTTAATTTGGAAGTTTCCAGGCAGAATTGATTCATATGACAACATAATCCTCTCTACATAACAGAGCAGTGATATGGTTAACTAGTTGACCATGATGGATTTTCAGCTTGTAGCTTAAACTGAAGTACTTATGGGTGAGACCTCGGGTCAGTTACCGTCTTAACGTTAATTAAACTTGATTCTTATTAAAATATCCTCATGTAACACTTATCTATTAATACTGAAACTGAAGACATCTCTTTGTCTGAAGCAAGACTCAGTTAAATGTTGTTTGTCACAGATAAGCCAAAGCCAAGTTTCGGCAGATAAAATATAAATAAGACTGCATGAGAAAAGTGATGATGAAAAAAAATAAGATGCTGCAGCTCCTCCAGGGAATTCAACAGTGAAAACAAACTAGGAATCAGGAAGAAAATACTTTACAGAGAGAAGCGTCTCAGAAAAAACAGAATGCAATTATACACTGAGATGTAGGATTTAAAGTTCTGGAGGCAGTTGACTCTGACCAACACATGATTCTCATCACTGCGTTTGAAGATTATACCTCTGATATTTAGTTTTGAATAAAAGTAGATTAGATATGATGATCACAGTATTCTCAATATAAAGGCACCTTCATCTAGGCCTTTTTGTCGCTGTTGTTGAGGTCCTAAGATTTAACATCCACACCTCACCACACACATCAATATCAAAAGCCCTTCTCAGCGACAGTGAGCGCTCTCTCGTGGACATAGAAAATACACTTAGATACAGCCATTTCACTTCAGCTGACTGAAGATTTTTTTGGGGGCAGCCACTAACCTTATTATGCTATCACTGAACTCATTCATAACGTGAAGGACTGAGCACATGCATGAACAATATATTCGACCTTGCTGACAGCTTTATGAGTGTTTGATTAAATATTATGAGGATTGTTTTTCTAATTTCTCATAATACACCTTTAAATTCCCTCTCCACAACACGATTAACAACTGTAATAAACCCTTTAAAATAAACATAGAAATAAATGAAAAAGTGTATTTATTATGATTTATGTGGTCACCTGCTGCCATCTGGCTTCCTGACAGATAGCTGAGATGCAATCATTCAGCCGAAGCATTAATCTGCCCAATCAAGGTTATTTGATATACAAGAGCGAGGGGCTAGGACACTTTAATGTGGTCCCGACACTTCTGAGGACACATTATACAACCTTGTCAAGTTTACAGACATGTGAACATTAACGCACACATGACCTCCGCAGCGTCTTTTTCTTTCACTGCTGCAGGGGCAGAACACAGACTGTATACATAAAAGATGGACGACATGACTGCTCCCCCAAAAGTGAACCCAAAGCAACTTGATCGCCCCTTGGTGTCTGGCTGCAGTATCACCTAATCGCTACAGTGCAGACTCCAACTACCCAAGATATCCAGATATTTTAGCTTCATTTCTGGACAAAAGCAGGAAATGGATATGTGCCATCATCTTTATAAACATTGCATTCAAACAGGTCAAACGTATATGGCATACGTTCTTGAGAGTAAAGTGGGAAATGTATTCCAACCCCTCTAGACACATTATGAGAAACACAAAAACAATTAAAGGCCCTAAAACTATATTTTTCAAACAAGCTTTGATTGGTGGGTTTTATGCCAAGTGTTTTGTTGTATATGAGTGATTTTCTGTAGCCTGTGTTGAGTGAACTCTTCTCAATGATTTTTTTAACAGGTGGTAAAAGTGGTTCTCACTTATTTCTATGTGCACCAATAGGGATTTGGCTCAAAACAATTAGAGGGCAAGTTGTAAAGTTGTAAAGCACCTTGCAAGTGTGTCTTGTACATTCAACTCAGCTGTGTGTTGGTGAGGACAGGTGAGGGATTAGCTTGGAGAGGTTTTTTAGTAAAAATAAAGACATAACATAACTTAAACATCAACTCAACTGTCAAAAATACCCAACAAATACGTTTACTGTGGGACAATGAAACGAGATAACTTACATGAGACATGTAGACAGTCCAAACTTGAGAGGATGAGGCCTCCACCACGCAGCCCGCCAGGTGTCATCGCTCAGAGAGACGCTGGCCAGGTGAGCTGACTTCCTGTGAAGCTTCTGGAGGCGGAGCCACAGGCGGAAGTAGTAGGCTATATGAAGAGGGAAAGTGGGAGGGGATTGTCCACTATTATTATTATTATCACTATCTATACCTTTTATTAATGTGAGGGTTGTTGGAGGAGATGGAGCCATAATAATAAT